ACAATTTCAACGACAACATCAACATATGACATATTGTATAATGTATAGTGGTCATGATGTTTGGAATTCAGTATACTTTATGGGTATTATGGCCAATATTCCATTGAATATTGTTTGTCTTTATAATATTGTATTCAAATTTAATTCATCCAATAATAATGATTTTGCTTATCTAATATTCTTAATATTTCAAATGTTTGTACTATCAACCGTTATTGCAATTGCATCGAAAATTAATTTTTGTTCACATCAATTTAATCGACAATTACCAATTATACAATTATGTATAAAAGAACCGGTAATTAAATGGCAAATTAATGAATTTTATGAACGTTTAACAACTATCGATATTGGTTTTGGTTATTATTTGGGTAATATTGCATTCATTAATTATCGAAATTCATTTGAAGTATGCATTGTTTTCATTAATATTTTTACTGATATCAAATTGATGATTTTATTTTTTCTTTATTTTTTCAATGAATTTAGCTTTTAATGTCATATTTTGGTCTAATGATGATAATATATAAATTCTCTTTCAATGATAAATCATGAAACGAAAAGAAAAGTAAAAAATAAATCAAACCAACTTTAACAGTACGAAAAAAAGCCACTAACAGTATTTATTCATTTAATTGTTGAATAATCATTGAATTCCCATCAATTTTTAATTTTCCCATGACATGTATTCAAATTGAAAAAAAAAATTTTAAGTAATTTCGTTATAGAAACCAGAAATAATAATAATAATAAAAATTCATTCATTCGGAATTAAAAAGAAAACATTTTTATTCAGTTTTATCGAAATTAAGAAAAAAGAGAACCATAATGATTATTAAAAATATAAAATACAATATAAAAATACAAAATATTGGCTGTTTAGCAAATTGACAGTTAGGTTTTTTATCTGGTTTGTTAATTTGCACTTTGGTTTTTCATAAAATTCTAATCAATGAATTAAATTTTTTTTTATTTATTCATTGTAAATAATTTTGTCATAGAAACCAAGAATGATAATAATAAATTTTATTCATTTTTTTCAAAAAAAATATCAAAATAAATTTTTCAAAATAAGTTTTAAAAAAATCTATCAATCAATTGAAAATGATAGATGAAAAACGAAACTTGAAAGTTTTTTTTTTTTGAAAATGCTTTTCTCAATTTGATTTATGTTAGAAAATAAAAAGTTTTATTTTAAAATTTCATTGATCATTGACAATTATCATTAGTTGTTCCAAAGAAATTTGCGTTTCCAGGTTATTTAAATTTAAATTTTTTTTTTTTGATAAATTGTAATTTTGTTTTCGTTATTTCGTTCAGTTTTTTTTGTATTTTACAATCTTAAACAATCTTGAATCAGCCATGTTGTTTGATCGTTTAAAATATTATCATCAATTTGAACAATTATTGGATACAAATAATCGTCAATGGTGGTTATGTGAATTTACAATGATCATCATTCAATCTGGACGTTTTCTGTTCTATGTTTTACTTAGTTTTATGAATGAATCTGTATTACGATCATATTGTCCATATGATACAACTGCTGCACCATTATTTCATTATTTTACCC